TAAAGTAAAACTTTAAATTTTTCTCGAATTCATTATTTTTTAAACTGGCGGGAAATGTAGCTTCAACCAATCGTCCAATTGACATAAAGTTTTTTTCTATAAAAACAGATAATTTTTATGGTACCATAAACCTAAAAATGTCATAAATTTTTATATATAACTATTTTATATATAACTATTAGGTGTATAACTTTGCTTCCGCCGTTTTTTTTCCGAAATTCGAGACTTTATTGTAAAAAACTGGTTATACATTTATGATTCAAAGTATTGTCCATCGCTGGCCACTACTTTCTCCCATCTTTCGGGTAGCGTACGAATCCCGCGTCGAAAAAACTGGTCATCTTTTGAAGCTATCCACGAATCGATCCAATTTTTTACTTCTTCATAAGACCGGAAGTGCTGGTCAGCCAGGCCGTGTGCCATTGATCGAAACAAGTGATAGTCAGAGGGAGCAACGTCTAGAGAATACGGCGGGTGGGGTAGGACTTCCCATTTCAACGTTTCCAAGTATGTCTTGACCACTTTCGCAACATGGGATCGAGCCTTGTCATGCTGCAAAATCACTTTATCGTGTCTCTTGTTGTATTGCGGCCGTTTGTCTTTCAATGCTCGGCTCAAACGCATCAATTGCGTTCGATACCGATCGCCTGTGATTGTTTCAGTCGGTTTTAACAGTTCATAATACACTACGCCGAGCTGGTCCTATCAAATACAGAGCATGGACGTCAAAATCACCATTCTTGAAGCGTTGAAACCACTTACGACACGTTCTTTCACTAATAGCGGCCTCACCATAAGTATTTGAGAGCATTCAATGAGTCTCAGCCGCAGATTTCTTCATATTGAAGCAAAAATTAAAACCTCCCGCAAATGACGAGAATTTGGCTCGTAAACTGACATTTTCAATCGAGAATAACTTTATGATGCAGACACAAATCGACTAATGTTTCTATGGGGTTATGTTGACAGATGCCCAAGTTTATTGTATGACGTCTATCATCTATTTATTTCGACTACCACTTACCGCTAAAGCCATCTATAGGAAAACGGCGGAAGCAAAGTTGTACACCTAATATTTCTTTGAACAGGTTGAAAGTGAAAAAAAGTTTGTGAAAATTGACACTTAATTTCAAATGGCTGCCATTCTGTAAATTTAAAAATTTTTCACATAAAATGAGCCCACAAATTTAATACATTTTAATAATTGCATTGGTTTTATTTGTCTCAGAGAAACTGTCGAAATATAACATATAATCGATAACAGTCAAAGTTTCTCGCCAATTGATTACGTACGCGCTGCACCCTCTGATGCACCCCTAGGCTACAGCCGCAATTTTCTACATTTCTAAAACAATTTTTTTTGTATGAAATATAAATGTATAAAAATATAATATAAATTATATGAAAATATAAATTTTTTTTGTTAAAATATAAAAAAACATAATGCAAAAAATATTATTTTGATTCTCTTTTCTATGAAAAAAATTGATAAAAAATACATAAATTTTGAATCTCTTAAATTAGAATCTTATCCCCTTAAATCTTCATATGCGTATAAGTAAACAAATAATAATCGCGGTAATGTATTGTTTTAAAAGAACTTTATTCTGCACTGAGAGAAATGTTTAACACATGTAACCATCCAATCATTCATTTTGTTAATATATTTGATGATATGTTGATTTTGTCGAACTAATTCGTACATCTCTACATTATGTATACTTAGAAGAATTTTAATTTGTAATTTTCAACCGTTTTAATATTTGACTTATGTAAGGTAGGAGTTGTTTTTATGTTTTAAATTTATTGTTAATATGTAAAGTAGGAATTATTTTCATTAACATTGAAAAGCTCCTAATATAAGGATGAAACATTTATTAAAACTTGAAAGACATTAAATATTAGCTATCATGAACTAACGTTGGCTCTTAACTCTTTTTATTTATTTATAAATTCTTTTTATTTTATTTTCTTTTATTATTGAAAATATTGGTATTGTACAGTAACAAATCGTCCTAAATTATGAGAGACAGTCCTAAATTTTAACTTTTCATCTCACTTTACAATGCGTCTTAAATTAAGGACATGATTATAAATTGTTTCCCTTTTAAGTACCTATGTAAAAATAATAACTATGAATTAATAAGTATAAAAGTAATATAAAAATGAATGATTAAAAATAAAAATGAAAATGATGTGTGAAATATAATTTTCAACTAATATGTAAAGAAAATTTTATGATTTTTAAACCTATTGATATTCATAAAATATATTTGATAGAAAAGTACAATTTTATAAAATAATGTGCTCTCGTAACTTGATGTATTTTTTGATATATTTTTTTGTAATCTTATTAATGATATACATTAAGTGTTACTAGTTATTTACAAATACAATAATATGATAATGTTTGTGTGTTCGTTAACAATTATTTAAATAATGCTCATCTATTAAAATTTATTTATGGCAATATTGAATTATTTTTAAATATTCCTCTGCTTTCTTGATCATCTTAGTATATTGTAGTAATTTGCTATGAATATGAAAAAGTTTTTCTTCTTCTACAGATTTCCGGCGCAATCGTAAGTGTGTTTGCCAGTTATTTCATTTATCAGCTGCACGAATACGGGTTGCTCACACCCAGCCATGTGTGCGGGTCACCTGCTACTTTGTTGGCGATGGGCGTTATTACATGCGGGATCGGCTGGTTTGCCTGGCAATTCCTGGATTTTTCCAACAAAGGTCAAGTGATCATTGTAAGTATACTTCTGGAATATTCAGAGAAGAATTAGGAAATTTAAAACTGATATGAATTGTTCGTATTCCAGTTTGCTATAGCAATGGCGATCATCGTACTGATCCAAACCGGTGTCGGGATTTGGGCCTTAGTGCGTCATGAACAAATAGACATCCTATCGTCCACACAATATGAAGAGATCTTTGCTCTTGCAGTCACGGACGAAAAATCTATCTGGGACCACATGCAGTCCACGGTAAAAATTGTGCGCGCTATGCCACCGACGAGATACTATTAAAGACCATCAACTCAAATTTTTGGCGGTATAAAAAGGGCCTCAAGGACCCATAGATAATTGAAGAACGCTGACATTATCGACAATTGATATAAATTTTTATTAACTATTATTAGCTATTATTAACATAAATATTTGGCTCATTATTAAATTCATGATTTTTTATTACATAAATGTTCCATAAATATGCATACTTGTAAAGCTATAATATCCTATATATATTGCAGAAAAATTACAATTTTTTCTCTGCAGTTATCATCTCTGTTGATAATCAAACTTTGACGATAACATTGAAATCACAATTTTAAAGAAAAATCGAGTATTATTGAGTTCTAAATGCATAAACGTCTACTAAACTAATAAATCATAAAATGAGTAATAATAATAAAATTAGTAATAATAATAAATTAGTAATAATAATAAATTAATAATAATATCAGTTTTTAACTCTTAATTACTTCAATATTCACAAGGTCGCGAACTTCCGTAAGGATGTCTTTAATAGTATCTCTCGTCGGTGGCTATGCCAAATTGCATTATCAGAAACGTCAGTACAACAATTTCTTCTTGAAATAATTTTTATTTGTCTTCACGCTTCTACCATACTTCTTACTCATTTCATCAATCACACGCTAAACATGCGGCGGGTGAGTTCGCTCCACTCTTCCTTGATTCTCTCTTGCTATCCCATATTCATTCCTTTTCTACTATCTAACATTTTTACTTACAGGGACTCTATGCCTTGTCTACTTTATATACAACTTCTTTGATGGAAAATTGTACGCCCTTTGACAAAGGGAGAGTGGGATGAAAATCATATTTCCTTCATTGGTCCATCTTATATTTTTTTCCCTGTCTAAAAGTTATCAGACTCTTCATGTATAGCAGGGAAATAATTATTAACTTTGACTGTTAATAACTTTTTAATAGGGATGCATCGGATCGTAAAATTATCGGATATCGGTTATCCGAACAGATTGTAAAATCAGATATCTGGTATCTGATCGGATATTCAAGAAGACAATTTCTTCGAATCGGATATCCGACATTTTCCGGGAAAATGTCTTCTAAAAAAAAAAAAAAAGAAAAACCTGTAAAGAAAAAAATTGTAATTTTGCAACAATGCATAAGATATCATAGCATTATGAATATCCATACTTATTTCTAGAGCATTTATATTTATATAAGAAAAAATCAATAATTTTATAATATAAAATTTCAACCGGATATATTCCTGGATACTAATGATATCCGGATAATAAAAATATGCTGGATAATACTAGATATCAGGTATTTTTCAGATATTCGGTGCATCCTTACTTTTTAACGAATAACGAGCCACGGCTAAAACTTGTTGGAGATCATTCAGGGCTGAATCCTCTTTTGTCAATTTTACCATCTATACAGTTTATTTTTTAAACTCTAATTATAATATAATCATGTTATACCTATTATTGAGTAGGTTTTTATGTATGAGTGCGCGCGGTGAAGAGAATGTATACATATGTACATATTATATTTACATATAATGTACATATAATGTAATATATACATATGTATCGGTGTATACATATCTGTGTCGATGGCTATTCTATTGGTACAGTTTAACATTATTATATATGGACACGCGTCCATAAATTAAGTATATAAATGATTATACAATTGTAAAAAAAAATAAATTGTATTGTGTACATAAAGATGCTTTTCAGTCTGATTAGACTCAAAATAGCGTTCAAATGGTGCTACAGCAAACTCGTGTCTATTTTTTGTGATTGTGCTTATAAAAATCTTTAATAAGCATTTCACAAACTATAAAATATCCGAATTTTAGCTAATTTGACTAAAACCATTTTTTTCAAATGATTAAGTGCAGAATCCTTTAGTTATATTTATGATAAAATAAGCTATATAAAATGTGAGAAAAATTTAAATCGGGCTAACTTCGATTAATAATTTAATTTTAGTTACAATGTTGCGGAATAGATGGGCCTTCCGATTATCGTAGCGTAGAATCGATTCCTTGGTCCTGCTGCAACACGACGAATCAGGAAAATAACACCGGGGATGCTTGCACTACTATCAATAAACGTGGATGTCAGCACGTGGTTTTAAATCGGACAAGATCGATCCTTCTTCATGTATTTCTTCTTGCATTATGTTCTGTGCTGCTACAGGTGCGTGTCTTTGTTCACTGAAATTCACGGATCATTCAATTAATCGAATGACGGTCAATTTGGTTTCAGATTTCCTTCATAGCGTGCACGACTTGTTACGTTAGAATATACAAAGACAGGATGGAAAGGAGAGCGTCAGAGATGGCTGTGCGCACATCTCTGCAAGATACGAGGGAAACAGATACTAAGAACAATCTTTTACGTCAGTCGCATAATTCTGGCAGTCCTTAGCTAATGCTGCATATGACGAAAGACAAAGATGTGTGTCGCTTAAGGACGTTGCATCATTGTGATATGCGAAATACGTTTAGTCAATATCAACAGTATATAGATATACTAGTGATATTAATATCCCCATTATATAGAGTGTTTCAAATCAATTGAGATATACTTAATTTTTTTCACTCTAAATATATTTAAGGAAATAATTTCTAAAAAAGATTACTTTTTTTTAATTTAATTTAGGAAAACATAACATTTTTTAATTCGTTGAGGAAAATATATCTTTAAAATATTTTTGACTCTCATTTGAATACCCTGTATAAAGAAAAAAGTTGATAATATTCTAAAAAGTGCCTGAATAATTTGCATCCTATTCTTACTGCTATTTTATAAGTAAATAGGTGTTTATACTATGACAATTTCTGTCTTAATACTATGATAGCATTTCTGTCTTTTTATTTAAGTTCCTAACAATACCGAGACTTGGTATGATTTAGTTAAAAAATAGGATTTTATTATCTTAGCAAACGTGATATCAAAATCCATATTTACATTTTTTAAGTCTTTAATTAATTTAGTTTAATCTCCAGCTCACAGAATCAAATTAATAAAATTGAATTGGACTTGAATTGTTGGAATATTGTGTACAAATTGTTTTTATTGATGAAACAAATTAACAATAGTACAAAAAAGTACCAAATATTTCAACAGGTTTAATTTGGTTTTGCTAATTTAGTCCTGCTAGATTATTAATAGAGTTAGTTTGTACTTAACATATTTCTTAGTGCAATAATTGAATAGATAATGAAGTGCACAGTGCAATGCCTCAATCAATCAACAATCGACATGACCAACAAAAGAATAATATTAAAAACCTTATATGAATGTATCATTTTCAAATCTTACATTATCCAGAAATATTTGTATGATCCTCGATTAAAAAACAGAATGTATCGAACGAGTCGGAGTAAACGACAAAATTAACATAATTATTAATTACGCCAATGTAGTTTTTCTATTATTTTCATCTATTATATATATCTTTTAATTTGTAATATTATTTAGTTTATATTTTATCT